ATAGTTTCCAAAATATATCCACGCAAGTAAACAAATTTCAAGTTTCAACCCAAACAATATATTCCAATGCATGTGCAAGGGCTTTCCCCAGTAGCTAATCTCTCAATAAGGCGGCTTCCAATTGGCTCTAACTTTCTTGAACACTGCCAGATGATTGGCTCCTAAAACAAAGGGAATTGAATATGCAGCTCGGGTAAGCAGACGGTAGTATTTCGTCGCTTGGCGTAAGAACTACAACGTCTGTGAGCAGGCTACGTATAAATTGTCTCTACTCCATTTCCATCTCTATCTGTTTCGTTTTTCTTCAGTCTCAGTAGGTTAGTTTAATACCAGAACTAGTTTTTTTCAAAGTTTAGGTAAATTGGCTAAACATTGCCCGCCACTGTCATTGATGCGGACGGCAAGCTAAGCAGCTTTATCGCCGAGGTGAATTCGACGAAAGCCAGATGAGTTCGAAAAAACTCATCTGCATGCTCGTAACCAATCACAAAGCAGCTTTTAACATAGGCATGGGATAAACTAGGCCAAATTACACTAGATATTTTGACAGACTTTGTATTACAACCAGCAACTTCGGCAAGTTTCAAACGACCTGCCTTACTCTCAGCTTTTGCGATTTACAACGTCGCGTTGCAAAATCTACTGTTTACATTTGAGGCCTTATTTCAAAGTGATATGTATACAAATTAGCAAATGAAAGTAGAGTATAGATTATAATAAATAGACAATATATATTAATAAAACTATTAGGGGCATGATTGGTGAAGAAGTGCGCTCAAAAAATCCTACCTGAATATCAGATTCTTTCTTGTAGCGTACTTTGCCATCATCAGTTATGACGTCCGAAGGACATGACGATTCAACGGCTCTCCAATCTTCAGTTCCCCTCTGGTTGCTTTGATGGGTGCTCATACCTGCCTTCAAGAATCGGCTAATTCCAAAGTCTGCCAGCAACCAATTACCGTCGACGTTTCGCAAAATGTTGGATGGTTTCAAATCACGATGCAAAATGGGCATTGGATCGCGATGGAGATCAGCTAACCCTTTTAAAATTTGACGAATGATATGCGCAATTGTTTCCGGATCGTCCGAAGTGCTACGATGTACAAAATTTTCCAATGTTTCCTCACATAAATCCATGATTAGAAATAAGTACTCCTTGTCGCTCTGGAAGTCTAACCACCAATATTTTATCACATAATTTGACCCCCTTACACTGGGCACGTCCAAAACTTCCTTTTCCTGTTCAGCCAATGGAAAGCAAGCATCTCTGGGCAAACGTTTTACAGCCCTCTCGCATCCATCTCTTCCTAATCCTACATAAACTCGCGTGCCATCACCCCCCTTACCAATAAGAAAGTCCATCGAAGCACAAAAACGTACTTCGTGAATCTCTTTGATTTCTTCTGGATGGGTTTTCCCATATTCACGCAACTTAATGAACTTTTCTCGATGAACTTTTGAACTACTTTGCCATTTCCAAGAATCTGGGCTCTCTAAAAAATAGAGAAAACAAAACAAATGTGTTAAATAAGCCAGTTTGGAGTTTCACCTGTTCATCCAAAAAACCGTTGTAAGAGATTGTAGACATGTAACCCCAAAGCCAACGGCTCTAAGCGCCGTTCTGGGCGTAAACACATGGCGGGGGTTCTAATACACATGAGAACATAGTGAAGTGCAAAATCATCCTCCATTATGTGATAAACGGTTTTCGACATTATGCGCGAAAACAAGCTCACGCTTGATATATTTTGACATTTTGTGCTTGGCAAAAAATTGTTTTGCATTTTGTAAAGATGTATTTTGCTGTCTTACCTCTCTCTTCTACCGAGGTTAGAGAAACGCAGGGGAAAAAATCGCGTAAGCCGATAGTCTCTGCCAAAAGCCACACCCAAAAACAGTTTATTTCGGATCTTGAGTTTAGGACGGCAAAAGCGTACATGCGATATTTTAGGAAAATTTTGTAAATCTGTGACTGCAAGGTAAATAAAACATAATGTGCGACACTTTCCTTGGTTTGTGTTGTAGATATATATCATTCATATCTGCGAAATTCATAAGCCATTCGCGCTCAATAATATATATATATATATATATATATATATATATATATATATATATATATATATATATATATATATATATATATATATATATATATATATATA